TGTCTCTCTGTCTCTCTCTCTCTCTGTCTGGCAAGCACATGCGCCCTATGGCAAAAACCTCTCCAAAAAAAAAATCAAAACAGGGTCCGGCAGGTGACATCATTACATGCCATGGTTACAGTGACTAGACTTCCTCATGACTGACCACGGTTCAAGTCCTGGACCTGGCAGCTTGCTTTCTTACTTTCTCTCTCTCTTTGTCTCTCTCTTGTCAACATCCTTTCCCTTTCTTTCTTTTTTCTTTCTTTCCTTTCCTTTCCTTTCCTTTCCTTTCCTTCCCTCCCTCCCTTCCTCCCTCTCTCCCTCCCTCCACTCCTGCACATTTGCATGTGCCCTAAAGCAAATTTTAAAACAATAATATGGGGACCAGCAGATGGCATAATGGTTACATCACTGGACTGCCATGTAGTCAACTGTGTTTCGAGTCCTGGACCTGGTGGCTTGAAACTCACACTGGGTGCATGTCTGTGCATGCTCAAAATCGCAAGAGGAGAATGGAGGAGATAGGATTGCTGCATGGCCATCCTCCCTAGGGAGTGATTTCTCCCTCTCTATCTCTCTGTCTCTGTCTCTCCAGTGAGTGAACATGCCCTATAGCAAAAATCTCTCTTAAAAAATAAACTGAAATACCATAATAATGATAAATAAAATTAGATAAATCATTCTTTAAACAAAAGCAGAAAGGACTCAGAGAAGCTGCAGGGCATTAGGAGGTACTCTGGGAAGAGGGTTCCTGCACGGAGGCAGAGGTGGGAGTTTACCCAGCACATTTGGGGGATACAACAGAGCCACATGGCTTCAGGCTCGTAGTGAAGCCTGGAAGTCAACGCTGGCAGGGGAGGGTGGCTGGGGTGGCTGTCCTCACGTGCTGGGCTCGGAGTCCAGCTCTCATTCCAGCGGGAGTCGGAGCAAGGGCCATGGAGCAATGAGTGGGGTGTGACTCCAGCCGGACGGAGGGGTGAGTTTTCTGGCAATAGGGAGTGAAATAAGCTGAAGGGGGATTTAAAAAGAGAGTCGGGAAACCACTGAGGACACTATGGTAGGATTCTAGATGTGGGTGATAACTTGGCTGAGAGTAACAGTGGAAGTGAAGGACAGATGAACAGATCCCACTGTGGGACCTTCTCCAGGACTCGGTGAATGGTTGGGTGTGAGTGAATAAATAAAAAATAAATAATAACTTTTTTAAAAGATTATAAATGATAGATAATAGATAGATGGCAGAGAGAGAGGTAGGTAATAGGTAGACAGAAAATAGATTAGACAGGGGCCATCAGGTGACATGGTAGTTAAGGTGCTGGACTCCCACATGGCCGACCATGGTTCAAGTCCCAGACCAGGCAGCTTGCTTTCTTACTTCCTCTCTCTCTCTCTGGGAGTGCACATGCCCTGTAGCAAATTTTAAAATAATAATAATAATGATAAATAAAACTAAATAAAACAATTTTTTTCTGGAGAGGTTTTTGCTATAGGGCGCATGCGCTCGCCAGACAGAGAGAGACAGAGAGACAGAAACAATTGGTCCCAAAACAAATGGTCCCAAAACAATTATTTAAAAAAAAATAGATTGAACAATTAACAGATTCATTAGGGAGATGAAAGTCAGAGAGAAATAAAAAGATGCACACCAGGACCAGCAGTTAGTGTAATGGCTACGTCGCTGGACTCCCATGTAGTCGACCGCAGTTTGAGTCCCGGACCCGGTGGCTTAAAACTCACGCCGGGCGCATGTGCGTGCGTGCCCAAGATCCCGAGAGGAGAATGGAGGAGAAGGGATTGCGGCGTGGCCATCCTCCCTGGGGGGTGATTTCTCGCTTTCTATCTCTCTGTCTCTCTCTGTCTGTCTGGCGAGCGCACGCGCCCTATGGCAAAAATCTCTCAGAAAAAAAAAAAGTGCACACCAAGATGTTACCTCTGGGTGATGGGATCAGGTTTGGTTTTTGTTTTATTCTTTTTGCTAATCTAAAATTGCCTTACAATGTGAATAGGTACTATTTTGCCACAAAAACTATGACATGTTATTTTTTTTAATATTCTAACAAAAACACACCAACATATAAAAACGGTGAGAATTCTAGGAATTCCTGGAGTCCATCCTCCCCTCACCCCCGTGGCTGTGGTTCATTTCATCTTTTGCCCTCTGAGCTAACAACATCCCAGCCACCATCCGGGCCACAGCACCCACACAAATGCTAACAGAGGTGTTTGTGGAGCCAAGTGGTGTGTGTAACTATGACCACCTTCCCTCTGCCTCTGATGCTCTGGCCCCCAACAGCACAGACTCCAGTCTTCCTTCTTTTGGAAGGGGTGGAGTGTCTGCTCCGTGGGGGTGGGGCTGCTAGAAACTGGGCAGGTGTGAGAACCAGAAACCCATCTCCATACGCAATCTGGCCCTGCCTCAAACTCCCAGTCTCAAAGGACCGCTAGCATATGGGAGACTCGGGTTCAAGTGTGTCTCCTACTATTCTCCCCAGTCTCTGCAGACCAGGAGCTTGGGCCACGCTTTGGGGAGCAGGGATTATGAGGGGCAGTGGAAAGGCAGGAGTTTGCTCTGGGGTCCCTGCTTTCTCAGAGCTATGCAGACCAGCAGAAGATCTCAGTGGTGGACTTCTTCAAGAGCTTGAACCCTGCTGGGACTATGAAGATGCCGGTGGGCGAGTTCCGGAAAGCAATGTTACAGGTGTGCCAACTCCTGACGGCTGCAGGCACCGCATGTGCGTGTGTGTGTGTGTGTGTGTGTGTGCGTGTGCGTGGGCGTGTGTGTGTGTGCTTGGGGAGGGCTGGCAAGGGGGTGAGCAGAGAGCTCCACTAACCACCCATGTTCTATCCATCTCCCAGCAAAACAAGGTCCCTATAAACAGGTACCAAATCCGAGAGCTGATAAAGAGGATGGATGAGAAGACAGGCATGGTGAACTTCAGGTCAGTCCAGCCTGGGCCATTTCCACTCCCCAGGGGCCCTGGCTGGGTGGGTGTGATCTCCTGGGGCCACCCTGCTGCTCTCTCAGGCCTCTCACCCTTTCTGCACCAACTGCCTGCCTTTTCCCTGGACCCCAGGCTAAGCCCCCTGCTCACCCTCCTTCTCCTCTTCAGTGTACTTCCCTAGCAAAGCCTGAGCCTGGATCATGTGCCACTGAGCCAGACGCTGGGGACAGAGGAGCTACAGACCAGCACCCACAGCCTCACAGGAGGTGAGACAAGGGAGCCCACCCTGGGAGCCCTGGTGTGGCCTGAGGAATGGGGGTGCCCCGTACCACTGCAGCCCAAAGAGAAGGTGTCACCCAGTGGGGACAGGGCAATGTTGCGGCGGAGTCTGGCAAGACAGACATAGACCAGAGGGATGGGCTGACTCATGCGCTGGCCATGTTGGGGAACTACAGGTGGCTAAGGGAGGGCGGTAGATGGTAACTCAGGCTGAATTCCTCGGAGACGGGGGAAGAGCCACAGTGAGAGGAAAAGCAATCACTACCACCGCCAGGCGGGGGCCTCTGGTGTTCGAATGGCACAGCTCAGGTCTCATGGCCTCCAGCGCAGGCTCTGTAGGTGATGGAATGGAGCCATGCAGCCATAGGGCGAAGGCAAAGTCCTCACAGCCTGGAAGGGGCCGCCAAAGTCCTTGACTCTGGGTCTGTGTGGTTCTAGATCTGTCCTCTCGTCCTCCCATAGACCTCCTCCTCCGAGATGCGGGCCATGCTGCCTCGCCAATCCTGCAGCAGGGCGCTCTGGGACTTCCTGTGGCGTGGGCCTACCCTGTGTCCCTGGGTGCTCTATCAGGAGGTCCCCATCTTCCTGCCCTGCAAACCTTCTCCCCGAAGCCCAGCCAATGTCACTAGGCAGACAGGAAGGGAGAACGGACCCAGCTGCAAACCCAGCTCTGTTACTAGGAGTGCAGCTGGGCTCCATGCAGGGTTCTCAGTCTTCTCCATCTTTAGAACAGAGCAATAACCTCGGCACCCAAGAGGGTTTGCAAGCATTAAGAGGGGAAGTGGGGACCAGCAGCAGATGGCATAACAGTTACGTGGTCAAGTGCAGTACGAGTCCCAGACCCAGCGACTGAAAACTCAGCCTGGTGCATGCATGCATGCACCCAAAATCACGAGAGGAAAATGGAGGAAAAGGGATTGTGGCATGGCCATCCCCCCAGAGGGTGATTTCTCGCTTTCTGTCTGAATCTCTCTGGTGAGCCCTCGAGCAAAAAAAAAAAAAAAAACACTCTCATAAAAGGGGGAAGTCTATGTAAGGGTGCACGCTGTGGCATCTCGGGAATAACACTGTTGTCCACAAAGGGGCCTCTGGATGGCTCAGGCTCAGGCCTGCATCCTGCCCCTCCTCGCGTGCCTCTCAAAGTGGCCTCTTGTTCCTCAGGAAACCAGTGGCACATGTCCAAGGCCCTGGTGTCCATACCAGGCTCTAAGTCACCCAAACTCTCCACTCTGTGGATGAACTCACGTGGCCAGAGAGAGGTGGAATGGGGGCCTGGAACCCTGAGCCTCAGGGTCCAAGTCAGGGACCCTCAGGGCCACTTCATGCATCCCTCAGATCTCACATCACCACTTGGTTCTAATTGAAGAGTAGAGTTGGTGCCAGCAAGTGGCGTAGTAGTTAAGGCACCGGACTCCCACAGAGTCAGTCACAGTTCAAGTCACGGACCCAGCGGCTTGAAACTCACGCCTGGTACATGTGCATGTGTGCCCAAAGTCCCGAGAGAAGAATGGAGGAGAAGGGATTGTGGCACGGCCATCCTCCCGGGAGGGTGATCTCTCACTTTCCCTCTCTCTCTCATTAGTAAGCACCTGTGCCCTAAAACCTTTTTTAAAAATGCCAGTAAAGTAGTTAGAGCACTGGCATGCAGTCCAGCCCACGGGGCATGTACATTGAGTACCTATTGTTTTACACACACACATGCACATGGCTTATCATCAATAACTCCATACTCTCCTTTTCCTCTGACTTTGCCTTGCCTTCACTGTATCTTGGTGATTGTTTCAGGTTGGTACATTTAGGTCCACCTCGGACTCTTTTTTTTTTTTTTTTTTGGTGTTGGGGGGAATGTCATAGGGTGTGTGCACTTACTGGAGAGAGACAGAGAGAAACAAAGAGAGGGAAAGTGGGAAATTACCCTTTGGGGCGATGACCACATAGTTCATTCTCGTCCTGGGATTTTGAACACACATACACATGCACCCAGCATGACTTTTCAAGCCACTGGGTCCAGGACTCAAATCGTGATCAGCCATGTAGGAATCCAGTTCCTTTATTCCCATGCCACCTGCTGGCTCTCCATCTCAGTCTTCTCTTTCTTTTTACTTTATTTATTTATTTATTTTTAAATTTGAACAGAGGGACAGAGTGAGAGAAAGAGAGAGAGAGAAAGTGAGAAAGCAAGCCACCAGGTTCAGGATTCGAACCATGATTGGCCATGTGGAAGTCCAGTGTCCTTAACCACCATGCCACCTGCCGGCCCGCACCTCAGTCTCTTTAATTGCTGCATAGCAGTTCATAGTACTGCCATCTTACAATTTAATCTCATTTTATGGGCATGTAAGCTATTTCTAATATTTGGCTACTACAAATAACACTGTACAGATGCCCTTTGTAAGTAGGACTTGCACACGTGTGTCCCAGACCCTAACACATAAATCTGCCCAACCCTTGCCAGTCGTCTAAACGAGTGCTTCACTGCTTCCCGTTGCCCACACGGAGCTCACCCACACTCAGCTCTCGCTGAGATGAGAGATGGGTCTGCACATGGCCTTATTCGAATCGGAGCCTGGCTTCCCAGTCTTGCCCGTCAGCCCTGAGGCTGCAGCGACGTGCCGCGTTATTCCCTTACCTTTCAATCCAGTTTCTTGAAAATGCCGGAGCCATAGCAACAGGTCTGGTCTGGAAGGAAGTCTCGCTGAGAGAGAAGTCCTGGCAAGATGGATGGTGGCAGGAGGAGACTCACAGGTGGCCAAGACTTCGATGGGCAGATGCCAAGGCCAGGGCGATGCATGAGCAAATAAAATCTGGCCTGGCTCGGACATCTCTGGGCCGCTGCCGTGTACCCTTCATAGGTGTTGGGGAGCCTTCTGGTTGTGGTGTCCACCAGGGATGTTCTTGGTGGCCCTGTTCAGCACCTCACCAACCAGCTAGGAAAGTGATGGGGTGGCCAGGCAGCAGGGGAGCAGGCCAGGGCACAGAGCAGTCGTCACAGTCAGTGCAAGCTGTCAAGGGGAAGACTTCCAGGATGGGAGGCAGCGGCTGGGAGAGCAGGTGCTGAGGAGTGGAGGGCAGGGGCCTTTCCAAGAAAATGCTAAGAGGGCCAATGAAGCCAGAGTCAGGAGCCAAGAGGCGTGGCATATAGTCAGGGCCACTACCTGGCTACATGACCTTGGAGCCACCTGACTGAGTCCACATAGAAAATGGAACAGCTCAGAACAGCAGATGGGGTAGCGGTAACGTCATTGGACTCCCACGTGGCCAACTGTGGTTTGAGTCCCAGACTCGGTGGCTTGAAAATCATGCCGGTCACATGTGCGTACATGCCCAAGATCCCGGGAGGAGAAGGGACTGTGGCATGGCCATCCCCCCGGGAGGTGATTTCTCATTTTCCTTCTCACTGTCTCTGTCTCTCTCTCTCTCTGGCAAGTGCATGCTTTCTAAGGCAAAAACCTCTTAAAAAAAAAAAAAAA